TTTATTTTCTACTCATTCTTCAGGACTGACGTTACATACTCCCTCTGCCACCACCATCCCTGATTCCCCTCGTTGGACTTAAACTCTTCCTTTCTGGAACTCCTGTATCACCTTATTTGTATGTCTTTGTTGAACATATACCTTGCATTATAGTTACTTACATATGTTTATATTCTTTACAGGGCACATCACAGAGCTTTGTCCACAGTGGAAGGAATAAATGAGCAAAAGACTGACAGCATAATAATGGATACCCTCTGGGGATACCAAGAAACTTATTGCATACTCACCCTAGTCACTTGTGAAGAGATCACCTGAGAAGCAATATTTGTGAATGTTTTCTGAGCGGAGCCCAGAATTACACCAGTATTATCCCATTTGTGTACTGGGGCAAAGATTTTCATAATAGTCGGGTTTTTATACAACTGAACAAGGGTTTTTGCGTTAAAATTCTGGCTTTCACAGTCATTAAGTAGGGAGAATGGTTAATATAACAAAGGCGACTAGCTCACACACACTTACAGACAAAGGCTATTGTAGGGTTTGTTATATTTGCAGCAGTCAGATTTGCCTTTGACAAAATCCATGTACAACTTACATTTTAAAAATTATGAGTGTAAAATTTCTGAGTCAGAAACGACTTTGCTTCTCCAAGGATTCAAATACCTATAAAATCAACCACTGCCCATTTATTGGGCACCACTATGGGCACGCCACTGTGGCAAAATGCAACATTTCAGGCATTATTCATTCTACACCAAGGGGATTAGTTAAAACAAGACATAAATATATCATAACACACTATCAATATAATAAAATATGTGGTAGGTGCTATATGAACAGTATAGATAGTAAATATTCTAAGGCTTTGGAAGAGATGATAACCACACTAGAGATGGTCTAGCCAGAGACTTGGATTATATTTTCTCATCAGACATGTGGCCTCAAGGGCTTTTGGCTTTAAATTTCTTTCTTTCTTTCCTTTGAGTTGGTTTAACATGGTCAATCATGTTGGAAAAGAAATGAAGAAATTTAATATGGCATTCCATCCCAGCTGGTTTTAATAGTCTGAATTTCTTTTAAGACAAACTTGTAAGACAAATAAAGAACTTCCTGCCAAACTATATGAATGCCATCTGGCCTGAAGTGAAATCTTGGTGGTCTAAGTCCATTCACAAGGAAAGTACAATTGACCACAACTATTCTGGAAGAGCCTGGAGGTGGGGAGAGTTGCAGCATTTCTCATCAGAAATGTTAAATGAGGAAAAGGGCCAGAGGTGAACTGAATAATAAGCAACATCTCGGGAGAGCCAGAGCTTTTATGCATTTCAAAGCATTTGTTACGGTGAAACAATATTAGCAGTTGGGTAGAACACGAACTATAGAGTGAAATTGGCGGGAGGGAATCAGAAAGAACACATAAAAATGCTATTTGAGGACAGTATGTGACACTAGCACATAAATCAAAATTTGCCAATGTTTGAATGTTCATTCAGCATACTGTGAAATTATTAAAAATTACTATAAAGATCATCTCGTCACATGGAAACATGCTTGTGAAATGCTAAAAATTTAAGATGTCAAGATATAAATTCAGTTGTACAGAATGCAAAAAGTTCAAATGGAAAAGACTGGGAAGAGTTCAGGCCACAAAAGATAAAAGTTATAGAGTTGTATGGTGGACTAAAGGTAATTTCCTTTTTTTCCCCTGTATTTCCCAAAATGTCCATGATTTGATTACATTATGTTAATAATTTAAAAAAGTAGTATCTTTATTCAACAAATATTTCATGGCTGTATGGTTCTTTCAAAGACATATTGCATATTATCTCTACCCTCAAGGAACCCTGAATCTAGTCAGAGGGTAAGACATAAAATTTTACAAATAGTATGCAATAGAGAAAGTAAGAGAGCCATAGGAAGTCAGATGAAAAATATCACATAAGGCTGTTGTGATCATGAAGGTCTAATGAAGGCAGTGGAGTTTGAATGGGACCTTGAAGGACAGGATTTTAATAGATAGTGTTGAGCGTGAATTGGCATTCTCTGGAGAAAATGCACAGGCAAAAGGGCAAAGATGGAGAAGCATGGCTGTGTCTGCGGAAAAGCAAGGGTTCACGTTACTCAATGAACAGAGTAGTAAAGGAAAACGTGACTTGAAAGTGAGGCTGAGGTGAGATTTTAAGGTATGTTGCGTGCCAGGCTAAAAGTTGGACTTATTGGACCTTAATAGTTGACATGTGTATTTTACTTCAGAGTTTACAAGGTGCCAAGTGTTTTCACATTCTTTGCATATGATTTTCACAATAATGTTTTGAAGACGACATTATCACTCCATACGCAGATGACAAAACTGAAGTTGGAGAAGCTAAATGACAGATGTCACAGAGCAAGTTCCTTCTCCTTCTGCCCACTCTTTCCAGTAGTTAATTTACACCAACAATATAGCATTTGCCATAATGCATCACCATTTGTTCACTTTCACTTGTACTTGCATCATTGTTCACTCTCCCCTCCAAGACATCCTATTCATATATGGAAAAAGCAGTCAATCCACCGGGAATTCCTACATGATTTCAAATGATTGATTTAAGACATTTTTTTGCCAGCAGGAGACTATGGTGGTTAGACGATGGCCTTAGATTAAAGCCTTGGTTTGAATCCTAGCTCCGCTACCTATCAGCTGTTTAACCTTATCAAATAGTTTACTCTTTCTGAGCATAAGTGTCCTTACCTTTAATATATGAATGCTATTTACCTTGTAGAGCTGTTCAGAGGAGTAAATGAGAAAATATGTATAAAATGCCCTGTATAGTGCTTAACTCACAATAAGCACTAAGTTAGTGGAAGTGTTATGTTGTTATAATATTGTTGATATAATAACTTTGAATTAATAACTAAATTCTATTCCTTTTTCCTAATTCAGTTCAATCAATTTCTAAATGTCCCAGATTTGAGCGACTCGATTGGAAGCCAGGAGCCTGCCATCTTTCTAAGTGTAGGATGACTTTGTCCTGCAGCCAAATGTTTACCTTCCCCCTGCCTACCCCCATATGTCATGTTGTCGTATGTCAGGGATTTGGAAGGTCACAGAGGAGGAGTCAACTTAATAAATAAAAAATGGAAGGTGAGGTTACCAGCAAGGATCACTTTACCTGAAGTGATAAAGTTCTTCTGAGCCTGAGTAGACGGTCTTACACGTCAGCTCACTCCATCCATCTTGTTTTTAGTACCATTAATGAGCTAAAAATACTAAAGTAATACTCCTCCTGCTAACGTGAAGAACTGACATTTACTGAGTCCTTAACATATGCCAGGCAATGGCCTAGAATAGAAGAGAATAAGCCACTCAAGCTTCAATATAGAAGATTTTTTTCCTTATTCCTACACCATTGTGTTGCATTCTTGAAGCACATTTTTAGTCTGCATCTCTGGAATGGAAGCTTTTGTTATTGTACCAAGCCTATACAGTCAACAAATGTAGAACACTTCCACTAAGAAACCCGACCCAATACCTGGTCCATATTTAATGCACTATCCAGAGCAGCACTATACAGTTACAGCTATGCAAAGCAAACATGCTAAGTATTTGGATATTTTCTTCTTATATTGACTTTCTGCTTCTTCTCATTGCCACTTTACTTTCCATCAAAGTTTCAACATCCTTTAGGTCAACCTGCTTCTAGAAGTCAGGCTTGATCAGTCATGATCTTCCTGCTATCTCATCTATGGGAACTCAGTCTATCAAAATACCCGCCAATGTGTATTGGTATGATTTACCAATCCTATTTTAGCTCGTTTACTTGTTCATTTAAAAAATATTTTCACCTGGAGAACCAAGTTTAATAAGAAGTCTGGCATTTATAATGATGCCCTTTTGGGATATGCTCAATAAATACTTGATACTTACAATGTTGATAATGATGACCATTTGTTAAGTGATGTAAGCATCAAGCAGCTGGGAAAATATAAATTTGGCCCTAATAGGGGAGAACAAATGCAGGTACTCATTTTTAAGACCACAGACACAGATTAATTAATTAAAAAATCTGGTGCCTATGCTCACTCTTCCAGTTTTAGCTAGTTTTGGACTTAAAGCTACTTATGGACTTAAAGTAGGTGGTCTATTGGGATTAGGAAAAAGACAAGTATATTCGCTGCTTAACTGGTCATGATATCTGGCCAGCACTAGAGCTTTTGGGGAATGAGAGTATCTGGAAGAAGCCCTGCAACAAGTAGCCATTGGCTCAGGAGAAGATGGTAATTAGCTCAGGAGAGGAGAATACTGTAGAGAGGGGCCTTTTTCTGATCTGCTAGACTAGCATAGAGAGGTGAAGAGCCAGTGGAAGAAGAAAGAAACCCCATTCCTCTTGCTTTCATGGAATACTAAGGGGGATCAAATGATCCTTTAATTATGAGTTTAATCATCAATAATGGTGGATTTGGCTGGGAAGCAGTAAAGTAAATTCTTTCTAGCTCGTAGGCTCTTTGCCTGGAAGATTGCCCAATGCTACCTTCAGCTACATGCCTCAGTTTCCCCCTATTGTCTCCCAAAGCCCCTTTCCTTGCTCTGTACAACTTCTTTTTCAGATTTTTGAAAAGAAAATGAAATTGAACACTATGTATTTAGATAACTGATCTAATTAAATGTGTGACTCACTTATTCTATAGAAAGGTATGCAACTATTGTTTAATACATATTTCTATAAATATTTAGTTATTAGATCTTGGATAAGTTATGCCTTATTACAACAGTATTCCAGTGGAAAATCAGATTCGACTCATGATTTTTAACTCACAACTTTTTCCTAAAGCATTCCATAATTTTGAGCATTGTCTATACTGTATATATTTACATATTTCCAGGAATATAAATAAACTTATAAAGTATATCTTCAGAATAAAAATATATATGCATTTACATATTACAAACCTTAAAACAATTCAATGTAGAGATTTATACACATGCTTTATAAGTAGGAATATGAGAGACAGTTGAATTAGTATATAAAGTTTTTATTTTAAGGTTTCCCCTTCCAAGCAAGCTTCATTTACACATTCTAATACTGTACAAAATTTACATTCTCTGTGACTTATTTATTCACTTTTCACTTTCTACTAGTTTGTGTCTTTCTGAAACATAGAAAGCTTTACTTATAGTTCTCATAAATGCTTTTATTTATTTTGACTAGAAATAAAAAATAAATGAAGAACAAGTCTAAGGAAAGCAAATATCCTTGTATAAACTGTGACTTTCAGAAGAAATGATGACAGGTGATGATAAAAGGTTCTGAAGCAGACCTTGTTCTCTTCATGATGTCAGCTGGAATTTTCTCACAAAGTACTGTACTGTAAATTTTCTTTATTTCTATATAGTCATATGCTTTCAAGGAAAAAGAAATGAAAGTTGATTGCACTGGATATATATATTTATATATATATTTTTACAACGGATCCTTTGGATCTGAACATACAAATAAATACAAAGACAACAAAGATTGCACTTTACTGTAGAAACGGCATTGGATTCTAGTACACCCATCCATCTTGACATGCTCCGCAGTGACAGCTTATCACCAAGGCATTTTTAATCTGTGGCTTCCTCAAGCTTTTGTTTTGAACGACACATTTGTTGAGGGATTCAACAACATCTCTGGGTGATTAAAAAAATACTTTAGACTTTTCTTTACTCCTAACTGTTGTTCCAGCTCCGAAGAGCTGGAAAATCAAATTCATGTTCCTGCCGGTTTTGCTCTTTGATTGGCCACACTAAAACTACGTCATGCTCTCCTGACCTTCTGCTCCTGAATTCCTCATGCTCCTAAAGACGACTAGCAATTGCTCACTGAACTGAGCTCAGGCATCTCTGGTGATAACAAACAAAACAGGATGAGTTAGGGGAAGAATGAGGGTAAGTTTTGTGCTTTTCTAGAGCCAAATCTAGAGACATTTCTAGAGCCAAAGGTGAGGAAGAGGGAGAAATATTTGTCAGGAGCTATAATTCATTCTTGTGGCTCTTTGAAATTATGTGTTTTAGGGACAGAGACAAGTGGGATTGTACCTAAAAGAAATTATTCTCTCTTTTTGTCCCTGAATTCCTGAAAGCAATCTCCCAGTTTTCGTTATGGGTTAAGTTTGGATCAGCTGTGTTATCCAACAGAATCTCTTCACTATTGTATGACTGACTGTGTCAGTTGTACCCTTTGAAGCAAATAACAGGTGTGTTTATTACTTATATACTGCAAAAAATGAGAAAGCATGAGCCTCCATGAACTGAATAGTGACAGAGTGTGTTTTGTTTTAATCTTGCATACAAAATTAAGGACACAGAAATTATGACTCTGGCTAGCCTAGAACCTACTGGGCAGAAAGCAATTGCTACAAGAGTCAACATCTTTCTCTTTTCTGATCCCATGAGGTGCTGTAAGGGGCAGAAGGTATATGAAACAAAGTTATATAAAAAGAAGTGTTCCTCTTTAATCTTATATGACTTTCTATAACTGCTTTGCCTATGGAGTCTGTGATGTAGCCACAGGTTAGGAATATAGAATCAAGTGGCAATTTCTGTGATGCAGTGTAAGCATTTTGGTGGGTCAAATTTTGAATCATTCATGAACACAATATCCCCAAAACGTCAACATAGATCACATGCAGGTAGACTACAATGCACAATACTGATCTTAGGTCTCTCTGGGTGCACTCTTCTGTATTGTGTCTTTCTCCTTTTGAAAGTTACGATCCATGTGAGGAGTTTATGTAAAGCTGGGACAAGTTAAAACCAGTCTGAAATGGAAGAGTCTATCATCACAGGAAGTTTGGTGTGATCCGAGTTACAGACACGGTATCTGTTCAGGAACAGGTCTTTTTCTTTTGCAGTTACTTGTAAATCATCAGAAACCAAGGGTGTTTTTCGGCAGTGGTACCATTAGAATGCACTGCTCCTATTATAATAGTGACGTCATTGCTTCCTAGAAGGTGATACTGTTCGTTTCAGGGTTTCCTGCTGTTATTTGTTGTAAGGTACACAAGCGGGCAGGATAACTGTTGCACAGGCTGGGCCTGCCAGTGGTTCTGCTACATCTCCTTCCAGTTCTGTCCAGGTGCCTTTTTCTGGACAATAGCATATTGTAGATGACTTGTAGGCCCCCTGTAATGGCAGAGCAGGGAGCATTTAGGAAAGGATGTTCAGGGAAGTGCAATGGCAACCTTATCTATCTCCTTTACATTGGGAAGAAAATATTTTGATTCTCTGTTCATGCTAAAAAATTCCCAATGAAAGCAGTGGATTTTAAACTGCTTCATTCCAGGGGAAAACTGGAGATTGACAAGATTCAAAATCTTGTTTATTTGTGTGTGTGTGTGACTATTAACAAAAGTCAAGTACCTAGAACACCCTAGATGATCAACAGATCCTGTAGAATAATTGACCAAAAATTGGAAATTATCCAGCTGGTTTAAGTTAAAATAAAGAAAAATTTACCTTAAATAGTCAATTAATTGAAGTAAATTGGATTTTTTGATTGTTGCCTCACCTTTGCATTTTTATTTTACTACTGTAGAGAATCAGAGATGGGATTTAAAACTAGCTTAAAATAAACTGGAAAGGAAATCTTGCCAACTTCTTCGCACATTGGTTTATTTTCAAGAGGCCACATGAGAAATAAAAAATGTCTTTAATCTTGTTTCCTTTGTCACCCTCTGGGACTAGTGCTTGTATAACATTTCCTTTTCCAAACCAAAACAGCTTTGTTTTTATCATAAGCAAAAAACAAATAAAATTCCCAACCAACCTAATAATCATTTTCTGAAAGTGTATTCCTGATGTCTGGTTCCAAACACATATACAATTGCAGCTAGCAATTTACACTAGCGAACAAGCACATGTACCGATATCTAGTTATGTGTGTCAATACGTATTTGCCTCCATACAACTAATAACTTTTTAAAGCTTCCCTAAAACATTATTTTTTTGGTGAGGAAGATTGGCCCTGAGCTAATACCTGTTGCCAATCTTCCTCTTTTTGCTTGAGGAAGCATGGCCTTGAGCTAACATCTGTGCCCATCTGCCTCTATTTTATATGTGGGTTGCTGCCACAGCATGGCTTGATGTGTGGTGTAGATCCACATCCAGGATCCAAACCTGGGAACCTGGGCTGCTGAAGCAGAGTGTGTGAAACTTAACCACTACACCACTGAGCCAACCCTCTAAAACTTTGTATAACAACCTTGTTTGATGCAAAAGGAATAAAACTAACTAATATTATTAAAACCCCAAATGAATCTTATAAAAAAAAGTGTAATTGGAAAATATAAAATCAGTCATCATTTAAAAAGTGAATACATAGGCCACTAGACTATGTGTTTCCTGATGTGATATAATTTGAACTACACAGCCACCTCCCCAGGTGTTCTTGCCCCCTCAAAAATAATAACAACAACAAAAGAAATAAAAAAAAAAGAAAATAGCTGAACCTAATTAAGTCCTTATCTCTAACTTCCAGTCTATAGAAAATACAGAGACAGGACTATTTTAAACGATATCACAGGGGGCCGGCCCCATGGCATAGTGGTTAAGTGCATGCTCTCCACTGCTGGCGGCCGGGGTTCAGATCCCAGGCGTGCACCAATGCACTGCTTGTCAGGCCATGCTGTGGTGGCGTCCCATATAAAGTGGAGGAAGATAGGCACAGATGTTAGCCCAGGGCCAGTCTTCCTCAGCAAAAAGAGGAGGATTGGCGTGGATGTTTGCTCAGGGCTGATCTTCCTCACGAAAAAAAAAAAAAAAAGATATCACAAGGTAATCATTAGCCAATTCCAGAATATATGATATTCTAAATGATAATTGACCCTGTTTTTCAACAAGTCAATGCCATAGAACAAGAAGTGGGGCAGGGGTAATTTTCCAGATTGCAAGAGATGTATGAGATATAATAATCAAACACATGTGAGATGTGTTGGATCCTGACTTGAACATACCAATTTGAAAAATACATTTTTTTCCAAGTCAGATAAGAGAAATCTGAATATGGATTGCATACAAAAGAGTTATTATTTTTAATTTTAACAACAATTTTAACAACAATCAATTTTAATTTAACAATTCTTGTTAATTTTGTTGGATGTGATAATGGTAGTGTGTTTACATAAATGAATGATTTTCTTTTTAGATAAGTACTGAAGCATTTAGGGCGAAACAAATATAATGTCTAGAATTTGTTTCAAACTGCTTCAGCCAATATTTTTTTAAAGGGAGGATAGATGAAATAAGTCTGACAAAACGTTGATGGATGTTCAAGTTGTATGACGTGTTAATGAAGGCCCACTGTACTCTCAATTTCTGTGTATGTTTGGAAACTTCATGATAAAGAGAGGAAAAGAGTGAAAAGCAATGGCAAATTAACACATCCTAAATAGAATTTGTGGCTATTGAGCAATTAATTTCCATTTTTTATGCCTTACTGGTCAGAAACTTTTCAGATTCTCCTATTCAAACAATTTCAACAGAACATTTGTAAAACCACTTCAGTCTGACTTTTAGTTGGAAAGCCAGAATCACAAAGGCACGGGGGTGGGAGAGAACCAGAGACCTACCGCACTGTGTGATACAGTTGGCCAGATAGCAAGCCAGCTGTACAGCAACCACATTGATTCTATTCTACTACTTAAACTAATTTACTGCTTGCATGTAAGCCCGACACTCTTAACAGGTACATGTTGGGGTGGTAACACATTTGGAGGGAAATAAAAAGTAAGCACAAACAAAAAGGAGCAGGAGGAGGTAAATGTGGACACATACCATACTCCAGCTGTAGCCCCCCACAAGGTAAATGCTGTCATCAAGCACTGCACAGCCAGGACCACTTCGACCCTCCAAAATGGGAGTTTGGAGAATATTCCACTGGTCGCCTTTTGGGTCATAGCATTCCACGAGCATTACATCAAGGTGGGAGAAACCTAAGACACATAGCAAAAGGGAACCACAAAAAACAAACTCTCAGCATCCGAATTTAAGGCCAGGGCTTCCTTTAAAAAAAAAGTTTAAAGTCAAGAAGTAGATAATTGTGTCTTTGAAGACACAAGTGTATAAATAAATGGACTAGTGAAATTGGGAGACATGTCAGAAAGACCTAAAAAACAAACAAAACCCCTAAACTTTGGGTGTTTGGGGTTAATTCAAACCAAGAATTTCTAACTAGATGTCTTTTGTAAAGTTTGATTATACAGGGGTAGATCTTATTAAAAATGGTTTATTAAAACCTTATTGAAAAAGTTTAAAATAAGAGTTAAAGCAAGCGTTTTATAGAGTGCTTATAACAAGCTAGTTGTTTTCTAAGTGCTTTATATAAATGAACTCAGTTAATTCCCTCAGTCACTCTATGAGATAGTTATACCGTTATATCAATTTTATAGGTAAGAAAACTGAGGGACAGGGAAAGTGAATGATTTGAGTAAGTAGATAGGCTGAGATTTGAATCCAGGTGAACAGGCTTCAGAGCTCACAGTTTTACAGACTAAACTACTATATTGTTTTTCTTAAATGAATACTTACCTCTCTCAAAATGTTCTAATTAATTAAAAATGTTGTCTAGCATCTTTACCTTTTTTACAGCCTATGTTTATAAACAGCTATGATGACGTGAACAGTCTCCAGTATTTACTAAGGATCAAGGTTTAGAGCAGGGGCCTAACTTCTACTGAAGGGCTTCTCCTGCTTTTGATAAAGTTTCCTAGTGATTGGGAGAGTCACTAGGTCTTAGAGAACAACTTAGGTTCCCAGACTCCATCGGAACCATGCCTTTAATTTAGGGAGTCAAACATCCTTAGTAGGAGCTGCATGGTCACCGAGCAGACCAAATCTTCAATGATTTGTTTCTTCTAGTTAAATGCGCGCTAGCTGATTATTGCACTGCATATACTAAATTAATCAACATACTGGACTCTTCAAAGTAATTGAGAAGGTAGACCAAAAAGTATAATTTTCATTCTTGAAGAGGTAGACAGATTATTTCAGGCCACTAACTTCTAACATAAAATAAATCACATAGATTTGGGAACAATAGAGCAATGTGCTTACTGCTACTCTTGGTATATTCCTTTCCTTTACCATTAACGTTATTGATGATAACTTTTGAAGCATATATACTTGGAATAAGAATTTGGGCAAATTCCCAGTTCTGAAGCTCTACTGGCATCGTCTGAGGATATGTGTGCCTTCTCTGTACTAAATACCTATATTATATGTGTTGACTGTAATCCTCACAATTACCAAGGAAAGGATAATTATCTCTCTTTTACAGACATGAGGTTAAGTGTCTTAAGTAAGACCACACAACTATAAATGTGTAACTGGGATTCAAACCCAGGCTTAGATGCATACCCTTTCTTCTACGCCATGATGCCTCCCTGAGCCAACCTAATTTTGGTTTCTCACTTAGGTTGTCATTACCCAAGTCTTTTCTGTCCAAGTATAACCTTAAATATGAAAAGTTCCTAAAACATTTAGGCATTCTGGTGCAAAAGAAATTTGCAGAAATCATATTTTAATGTAAAAAGCTACAAAGTTAACATAAAGTATGTTGATATAAAGGAATGATGTATGGATTGAAATGAAGGAGCACCAGTGAAACAGAAAAAGAATAAAAAGGGAAGAGTTGCAGCAGTAAAGATAATCCTCTCCCAGTGGGGCGAGCTCTAAGATGAGCGCCAGACATAGATTAGGATATTGACATTTCTGGTTGAATATGAACTTGGAAACATTTACATAAAAGTTACACTTGTCTTCTCTTTATTACATCTGGGTAAATATGTATTAGGAAAAATAGAAAACCCATTTTTTAAGATGGATGTATGATTGAAAAATAAATGCACAGATAGGTCTTATCTACCATACTTGGATGGCCTGTTTCCCACTTAGTTCAATTTCAAGGATCATGGAAGGTCAGAGCTGGAGGGGGTTTTAGATATCAATTTGACCAGTTTCTTTATTTTCAGATGAGGAAACTGAAGCCCAAAGCAGTTCAATAACACTCTCAATATCAGAGGTCTCTCCCCTTTCCTGTCGAATTCAGTGTTATATACATGCATGTAAAGTTACATTCATGCATAAAAACCACAAAAATTTGCAGTCATATACATATGTGGACAAGGAAAAGTGCCAAAACATGCCTTCAAAAATACTATGCTTTAAATAAGTTTTTTATCTAAAAAAGCAAATAGAAAGAATTTGAGAATCATAGTTTGATATTCAATTCTTAAAAGAAATGATTCTAAATTTAGACATGAAATTCTACAAAGTGTTTTCTTTAAGAAAAATCACGTGTTAGCTTCTTTGTGCAGCTATGACTAAAGTTCTATAAGATTACTACAAAAAACAATTTTCTGGAAAAAATCCATTACTATAACTTTGGTGATAAGGAATAATTTATTTTACTGAATTCATTACTACAACAAATTGTTTGTGCTTTTTAGTTATTAATGCTTTCGTTTTTTATTTTCTGTAGACATCATTATTCACTTCTGGTTAACATTCATTTCTTTAATTCATTTCTTTAACTTAAAAATAATCCTATCTGCAGAAGAGCCAAAATAAACGTTTGCCCAAGGGTACTGGTAATTTACACAGAGCAGATTTTATTTGGTCAACATGTTTTTTACTTGGTTAACTATGATTATCTAACGAGAAAGCCCCTTAGCAAGAAACATGAGATGCAAATGTTATTGTGATTAGAAAAATAAAAAGACCTTTCAAATGATTTCCTCCAATTGCATACAAGCGATCATTCATTACAGCCAAAGTGTGGATGGCGCGTTTTGTGTTCATATCTTGTTTTCGAGCCCAGACGTCCATTACGGGGTCATAGCAATATAGCCATGGGACATATTCTCCATTGTGTACACCTCCTGTGAATTAAACATATACATACAAGTCAAGAAAGTGCCTTGGAGCTGAACTTTGTAGCAGAAAGTGGAGGAATGACTTGCCTGAAATGTATATTTTCCCGTTGTGCACTGCTCCTGCGTGAGCTGCCAGCGGCTGTGGCAGAGAGGACACGTAACGCCATTCGTTTGTCTCTAGGTTATAGCACTCCACGCTGGACAGATAGCCGGTTTCATTCCTTCCACCAATAACGTATAAATGTTTGTCCAACCGACATGCATAAAAACTGGCTCTTCTATGATGAAAACAACAATCCACCATAAATCACAAAAGGAGCCCAGTCAGTCAGGGAAAGGAGGTATATTCTGCTTCAGAAAGGGTTGCATACCTTTGGAAATTACCTGTATAGCTACCTTATAATTCTGAGACCTTACACAGTAATCATATGTGTTGCCCATTCTGGTTAACATTTTTGATATTAAAGTCAAAGTAGAGGAGAAATTCACCTCTATTCAATCAATTCATTCAAACTCTTTGTTTCAGCTCTTTATATCTTGCTTTTTATACACTGTTCAGGTGTTCACTAATGTTTGGGATATTTGGTACCTTGTAAGGCTATCACAGCCCAGTAAGACAAAGTGAAAAATGAGGTGGATAATGTAACAATAATAAATTATCTTGACATTCACTTTCTTTATGGTCCTTCAAGGGTCATTGTTCCCAATTTATAAGAGAACTACATCATCAAAATTTTTCTTCAATTACCATTTTTTCTTTTTCTCCCCCCAGTACTATGGCAAATAGAGAAACTTTTGTGAACTGAATATAGTGTTGAAATTTTGCTCTTATATAAACAATTACAGGAATTTCACCAATGTAGTTTCCGGTGTTGATTCTTACAAAGCTTTGGGGTATTTTTTAGTCTCTCTTCAAGAGATGCTATATATTAAATTATCCCACTATGCCATCAAAGGCACAAGATGCAAGTTGTGTTGAAAGGACTGGAGTCAGGGAGACCAGTTCTGAGGTAGACCATAATCTAGGAGTGAGGTATTGAGGACCTGAATTAGAGTTTTAGTAGAAGACGTGGAAAGAGGTGACGTGGAAGAGATTTTAAAGGAAGACGTGAGACTCGTAACTAACAAGATACGAGAGCAGGGGGAGAATAAAGGTTGGAAGCGGACTCAGAAACTTGGAGTTAGGATGACTAGGCTGAAATCTTAAGCAAGTCCTTGATGCTTTGCTTCTTTCTTCTCATTGATGCTACTGGAATAATATATTTCATAAAGATAACACGTGGTCTAATACTGAATAAGTACTATTGTTAAGTGCCAAGCCCCTCAGAGAATACAATTTATGTTTGATGAACTAACGGTCTTCATAAAAATTGATGCCAAGACTCTTGGGCAATGTCAATAGCAAGATGAGGAGCCCTAGAGGTTTTATCAGATAAACATATATGGTTTGGGGATTTTCCAAGTTGTGTTTACAAAGCGCCAATATCTCTGGGAAGCAGTACATAGCATCTTGATTAACGGTCTGGTCTCTGGAATCAGATTGCCTGGCTATATGATTTATTGGGTGTGTGGCCTTTGACACTTTACTTCACCCCTCTCAGCCTCAGATGCTCATCTGTAACATGGCAATGATGATGGCACCTTCCTCACAGGGTTATTTGTGAACACATATGTAAAGTGTTTGTCATGGTGTCCAGCATTTTGTTCTTACTCGGGAACCATCAGTTAAATATTACCTGGACAAAAAAGTTTTTAAAAATCAGCCATCAAGATGTTTGCATATAAACTTTTCCTAATAATATATTAAGTGACGACTAAATTCTTTAACGCTTGTTTAGATGATTTATTACCATATAGGTATGCTACATGTTATAGATGGTGATGTATTCAGTTTTATTTTATTTTTTCCAGCTTTATTGAGGTATAATTGACAAATAAAATTGTAATATATTTAAAGTGCACAACATGATGGTTTGATATACGCATATGGTATGAAATGTTTCCCACAGTCAAGTTAACACATCCATCACCTCACAGATACCTTTTTTTTTGTGAGAACACTGAAGATCTACTCTCTTAGCAAATTTCAAGTATACACTGCAGTACTATTAACTATAGTCACCATGCTGTAGATTAGATCCTCAGAACTTATTCACCTTATAACTGAAAGTTTGTACCCTTTGACCAACCTCTCCCCGTTTCCCCCACCCCTAGCCCCTGGCAACCACCATTCTATTCTCTGTTTCTTTAAGTTTAACTTTTTTTTTTTTTTAAAGATTCCACATATAAGTGATATCATATAGTATTTGTCTTTCTCCATCTGGCTTATTTCACTTAGCATAATGATTTTCAGTTTTATCCATGCTGTTGCAAATGGTAGAATTTCCTTCTTTCTCGTGGCTGAATAATATTCCATTGTACATATACACCACATTTTCTTTATCCATTTGTCTGTCAACAGACACTTAGGTTGTTTCCACATTTTGGCTATTGTGAATAATGCAGCAAGGAACACGGGAGAACAGACATCTCTCTAAGATCCTGATTTCTGTTCCTTTGGGTATATCTGCAGAAGTAGGACTGCTTGATCGTATGGTTCAGTTTTTTTTTTTTTAATAGTCCTGGAATTGTTAGCATCATTGATAATGTTGGAGTAATATTTTGGCTATGTTTGTTTTTTCTAGATTTTCTTGATGCTTGTGAAAGAAATGTGTGTTGTGGAAAATTCAGAAGGATGGTGAAGAACAACAGTGATGGAAAACGAGGAAGGAGAAAGGTAAAAAGGAAAATAAAGAGTGGGCAAGATGGATTTCACAAAGGAAAGGTTGTTAACCTGGGCCCATGTCTTCTGAGGGGTCCACGAAGCTCTGAAATTATAATAAAATTGTAATAAAATGTTGTGTGTGTGTGTATATATATATATATACACACACACACACATATATATGTTGTACCTATGCATTTTTTGGAGAAATATGCTTGGAGAAAGATTTTGGAGGAAGCTTTTAATCAGATTATCAAAGGAATCACTAACCAAAAAAAATTGGGGATTTCCTAGTATAGAGGAGTAAAAGCTCATCTAAACATAAAATTAGGTTTTTTTTTTTTTTAAAATATCCAATTTATTTCATCAGAGTTAGCTCTAACGGATCTTTTTTTTTTTTTAAAGATTTTATTTATTTATTTTCCCCCCAAAGCCCCAGTAGATAGTTGTACGTCATAGCTGCACATCCTTCTAGTTGCTGTATGTGGGACGCGGCCCCAGCATGGCCAGAGAAGCGGTGAGTCGGTGCGCGCCCGGGATCTGAACCCGGGCCGCCAGCAGCGGAGTGCGTGCACTTAACCGCTAAGCCACCGGGCCGGCCCTAAAATTAGGTTTAAAAACAATTGCAAAATTAATTGCATACAGATGGACCACTGATTCCTTCCATTTCTCTAACCAGATTTCAATTGTTCTCCTATTGAATATGATAAGTCAAGGTTATTTAACTAAAGTGTTTTTACCTTCTTAAGTTAAAATGTTTCATTGAAAAGAGTGACACATATCTACAAAAATCTATACTAAAGTAACACAGATATTTCTTTGCAGCATTGATACAAGGGTAAGTCAGTATCCCTCTTCCATATGATTCTATTACAGGTATTGGAGCCTCTGAAATAATTAACTTACTAATTTCACTAATGGGCCATCTCTAGATAATTTGAATTATGTGGGTTGTAAGGTGGTGAGTTCTGCTATGTACTACATAAAGGTCTAGAAGAGAAAATGCCTGTTAGTCATGACAAATATGAAAACACTCCCTCCAATAAGTTTAGATTGTGAAGAATAAGAGAAAGATCTCCCTCTGGCAGTGTGAACTCCTTTTATCTAGTCTAAATTTCATTTCTCACTTTTTCTGATCTGGCTCCTTCCGTCCACACTGTGACACTGAGTCAGCCTGTCAGAACTTGCTCTCTTTTTAGCCCAGCCGTTCTTAATCTGATGGTCCATGTGTACTCCTAGCTTTATCCACACAGTGTCACTGTTAGGATCTGAATGGAAAAAAGTAAACAGCTTTCATTTCCTGACTAAAAGTGCATTTTTATGTAGAAATTCCAGTAGCAAAGACCCTGAGTCTTTGACGTATTCCCTTGTACGCCCAAGGGGAGAATTCATGAAATACATTATAGAAACACTGGATAGTTAATGGTCTGTCAGCAACTGTGAACATTTCCTCAAGGCTAAAATTTTATCATACCAGGTCTTTCTTGGGGATCCTCCCTGCCTCTCCTCCCCACACGAAGAGCACACCTGATTAGGCTATTTTATTTGTTTTGGAAAAGTAAGCTCAAGATTATTCAAGATTTTTTAATAGGATTACACTATTTGTGTTGCACGTTGTTCATCTCTCCCTCCTCTGGCCGCCCTTTCCTCCCCCAACACCAGAGGCAATATTCAGTGTATTGAGATAAGTTTAAAAAGACTACCACTGACTTCTACAAACATACTTTGAACCCTGCACATTGTACAGGTCTTTACAAGTTCCTTCTGACCCTTAGAGGGGTCAGTTTATATCCTAAAGCATGAGTTTGGATTGCCATAACCTTATCTCCAGCTTGAATTTTTGACTTTCATCATCAGGTTAAAAACAATAGAGTTTTCAAACAGAATATTGTCTTGCATTGTTTCTTTTAAGGCTGCCAGAAACAAAATATTTAAATTTGGAAAATTTTTGATGTATTTGCTTCTAGCTTTTCATTACTCCGTGAAACATAAACTTTGTTGCTGTTGCTCTCCAAATGCTCTCCAAACTGCTTTTTCTTTTTCTTTTCCCTTTTTTCTAGACTAGCTAAAGGGTAAGATCTCCGTTAGAATAATACCTAAAATGTCTTTTTTTTTTTTTTGATGAGGAAGATTAGCCCTGATCTAACATCTGAGGAAGATTGGCCTTGGGCTAACATCTGTGCCCATCCCCCTCTACTTTATATGTGAGAAGCCTGCCACAGCATGGCTTGATAAGCGGTGAGTAGGTCTGCACCCGGGATCCGAACTTGCAAACCCCGGGCTGCCAAACTGGAGCATGCGAACTTCACCACTACGCCACTGGGCCAGCCCCTAAAATGTCTATTTTTATTGAAAAAAATTTAAAGTCACCAAAGCATTTCTATTAATCTGAATTTTCATTTTTACCCTCTTCTTTCAGAAGAATCAAATCCTAAATCTGAGACCAAAACAACTCATCAGCATTACATTTAAGTTTATATTTTTCATCTAATCATTTCCGTGTAAATTCATAGGGCACAGGCATGCGATTCATGAGCTGACCCACAGCTGAGTGAGCCTAGAGGCCGTGTGCCCATTTCCCTGCTGACTTTCATTATATTTCCCTGTACTTGCATTATACTCCTTTGGAAGCTCTGAGTAGGTAAGCTATCCTAGGACTCTGTCCAGCCAGCTCTGTAACAGTGGGTTACCCCTGACGCAGCTCTATTATTCTCAATCAGTTTGGTAACTTCTCAGCATAATAATAACTTTTCAGCAGTTTAGTAGCAGCTGAAGGAAGAGGGGAGTTGGGGAACTTCTGGTGAGTTTGATTCATGATCTGCACAATGCAAAATTAACTCAGTTAAATGTTTCAAGAAACTTTTCTAATCTGAAGAGTGTCTCACATATTTTACGTATTTTTTTCTTCTTCTTTTTAATTACCAATTAAACCATGCTGGTAACTGATCGTACTTGCTATTTTGGATGGAGGCTTGGCAATGACAGAAACACTTCATTTTAAGTTATGCATTGCTGCCTGGGTCAACCAACCCATAGGAGATATGGAGCTAGAAGATTGACTGGGCATTTGTGAGATCTGCCTTTTCCCATTCAGCTCCGTAAGGAGCTCTTTATTTGGTCTATCGAGTTGATTGTTCTAAATCTAAAAAAAAACTTCTTTTACTAGGAGGACCTGACATGATATACCATAATGACTTAGAAAGAAATGTTAAACAGTCCATCCTGTCAACGGTGGCTGCCGGGCGCCGACAGACCATGGCAGGTCTTTTTATCAGGTCAATGAGCTGCTAAAAATTGTCTAAGTAGAACCCTGCCACGGTAGGCCATAGTGCCTCAGAGGAAGTCATTATAGAATATCAAGTAAACAATACACATTTTTAAAAAATTTACTAATTAGGTTTTGCAACAATACTTCTCATCCTTAGGGGCTCTACAGTGAGATAATTGACCGCGACGTGAGTTATGCCTCCCAAACCGAAGGCACAAAGGTTAATGATCGTGGTGTACAGCCCCCAGCAAAGGGGACCGTGGTGATGAGATGCTGACACTTCAAACATGTTATCGATATTTATTTTCAAAATATTTTTTTAAATAAAACTTTTTTGAATGGTTTTGATTAAAGGGTAAAGTGATGTAACTACAATAACAGCAACCAGAAAATAACCCCCAAAACAAGAGAGAAACAAGGTGCACCGGAGGAAGACATGAGGATGCTTTTATGTATACATGTGTGCACAACGGGAAGATTGAGAAGTTTGTCAAGATATTAATTGACTTAGAATAATTTCTTGAGGTACCTTTGAATGAGACATTCCTATAAGGACTGTGGTCCTTATAATATATTGTGCCCCATCATTTTCAGTGTATAGCTGCTAGTCTCCTGAAAAAGAGTTTTAATGTATTTATGTGGACTAAAAAGTTAGATATCAGGTTTCTTTATGGACCAGGAAGTTAGCTATTGGGTTTCTTTATGGCATAAATTCATACTGTCTTCCTGTAGTCATGTACATTTTTGAGTGAATGGTATGATCTGAAAATTTCCTCTTAACTTGAGATTTGTGATTAAGGATCTAATATGATCTCAGTGCAATATGATTGACTGTTTTAAAAAAAGGAGATGCTAAGGTGAAGGAAACAAGAAGTAAAATTATTTCTTGAATAATTCAATGAAGAAGAGGAAATAGGTTGCAGCTTACTGTTACTCTTATACTGGAGAATTTGCTCAAGAGGATGTTGAGATACTGTATGAAAAGAACCAAGTGTTCAAAATTTAGCGTGTGAATTTGCATATGCATATTAAGACATCATCTCACGCCTAAGTATCAGCCAGGAGGGCCAAATATGTATAAATATAGTCGCCGTCTTGTCCTTTGGTGCTAGGAGAATTGGGTGAGACAAACACTGTATACATAAAAAATGAGAGGACACCTTGCAAAACTTTTTTTTAAAAAAAAGCTAACAAATGACCTGTTCTTGAATGTATGGTGGGAAGATATTTGAGGAGGCAAAGGTAAAGGATTTGAATCAGTGAGACTTGAAAACTTTAATTTTGAAATTTCTGAATCAAATTGCATATCATTGTGAGAATAGTGTTTTATATTTCAATTATAGGATTTAAATATCTTATAACTGAGAAGAGTGGGATAGTCAGTGAGATTGTAGACCTGCTTGCCAAAAAACCAATGCAATATAGTAAAGGAAGACAAGTCATACAAACTCTTTCTTCCTACATTAGGACAAACAATTGACTTATTTGATTATATTTCTCCACTGAGTTAATAAGGCAGTTAATCTAAATTGGCCAGGCCAAGTTTTGTATTTTGCCTCATATGTCTTTCATTGGCATCGGTTAGCAAACCTTATCATGGAAAACCATTCAGCATCCATGCTTCCTGTAAAGCAGCCACGAATGTTTCAGACACAAGAAATAAACACTTACCTTTCTTGCATGGGTGGAAGTTGTATCCAGCTATTAAATCGAGGATCATATCGGCTGACAAAATTTGTACTGTGTTTTCCTGTAAAAATATATTTGACCCTTACAACTTAGATTCCTTTGTTATAGTGCACATTTAATAGTATTTTATAAGATACCTCTTTTCTCAGGTTTAACAAACAGATGAATTAAGTAGAGGGACAATCTAACACGGTATGAGAAGTGATAAGTCAGTAGAAGAATAAAGGTGTCACCTCAAATGTTTTTCCAATTCCTTCTCTTCCTCTCTGCCTTTTTTTTGGGAAGGAGTTGGTATAAAAATAAGTCAACCATAATAATAAAAGCAAGTATGTTTATCAAAACAGTTTTATCACAAAGGGTAAAAATTTCTGAGTTTTGGTGCTTTTATATTTTAAAAACATGAAGTTCTTGTCTATAAATAATCAGTTCCAGAGACTTTCTTGTGTGATATCTCTGGTTAGAGCCTTTTTTTTTAATGATCCAAGAAGTCTAGCAGTGATGGAGTCTGCTCTCTCTCCATGGAAATCATAGCAATCTCTACATTAAGAGTTGGCATTAGGAAATCAGTTTTGTCTATGTACGTCATGTAAGTTCTGTGTGTGTATTAGGGGGAAGCACAGTTGCTGTGACATATCACAGGTGCATTTGCTGAAATGGGAAACCTGAGGCCTCAGAGCTGGGTAACCAGCTTATCCCCTCTGTTGAGCCTAAGAAGCACAGTAATACCTCCGAAGTATTAAAATGAACCTTGTTTTACATACAGATTCACACCAAAGCAAGAAATGGAAGCAGAAGAGGTTATTCCATTTTCTGCGTAGCACCTGAGATGACAATCATCTAAAGCACCTGAGGTCTTAACTCTAAAAGTTTGTTTTTTGTTCATACATGTGTAACTAACCATTGAAATATTGGTACTAAACTTCATCACAGGAATAGGCAGAAGAATGTGTGTGTGAGCATGTGTGTGAGTGTGTGTGTGTGTGTGCATGCGCGCCTCACATAGGCATGTATAGACAACACAATGATTAATTGCACAAATATATATTGAGCACCTACTATGCGTCTTACGTGTTCTAGGTTCTAAACATATCGGTAAACAAGAAAGACAAAGTCCCTGTCCTTGTAAATGAATAAACAGATATATATTATCAAGTAAGATGAATGCTCTAAAGAAAAATGAAGCAGGGATTGATAGAGGGGAGACCAGTTTAGGTAGGATGGTCACCTGCTCACAGATGTCTTGCAAGCCATGCACATATCCGCAGAATGAGCCTCTCACACAGTGGGTCAGGTGAGTATGAAGTCCTTGGGCTGGCCACAAGTTCAAAACCAGCAAGAATGCTGGGGTGACTTAGACAGAAGTCAGAGAGGTGTCAAGGTCCAGAACAGTGTGCCTAGTGGACTGGTGTAGGATTGCGCCTTTTGTTATAAGAACAATAGGAAGCCACTAGAGGGTTTTGAGCAAATGAGGAATATGGCCTAATTTATCTCTTGCAAAGATCACTCTGGCTGCTGTGTGAAGAACAGACTACAGAGGGGCCACTCCGGAAGCAGGGGAGTTGTTGGGAGGCCATTGTAATAGTCAAGGCAAGAGCTGATGGTGGCTTGAACGAAGGTGAAGGCAGTGAGATATGGTCAAGTTTGGGATCTATTGTATACACACAGACAATAAAATTTTCTAATAGACTGGGAATTGGTATGAGAAAAAGTGAATAATTAAGGATGGCTGCCAGGTTTTTAGCCTGAGTAACTGGATGGAAGCTCATGCAATTTGCTGAAGTTTGGGAGAGAAATCATGAATTCTGGTTTGGACTTAACCTTAACTTCCACTTTGGATCTCAAAGTGAAAGTGTCTGGTAGGCCACCAGCTAAATGAGGCTGCAGGTGCAAATTTGGGAGTCATTAGTCCAGAGGTATTATTTAAAATCATAAAACAGGATGAAACCCTTTGGGAGAGAGTATGGAAATGGAAGATAATGGGTCCTGGGAATGAGCTCTGGGGCAGAAGAAGAAAAACCAGCAAAGGAAAGGAATTGTTAGAGATAGGAGGAAAAGTATGGTATTTTGGAAGCCATCTCAAATAGGGTTTCAAAAAGAAGAGTGAGTTGAGAACCGACCATAGGATTTGGAAACATGGAGGTTGGTGGTGGCCTTGACAAGTTTTGTCTCAGTGGACGGGGCGGGGGGAATGAAAATTTAAGTGGAGGCTCCTCAGGAGAGGATAAGATGTAAGAAAGCAGAAGCAAGCAGATACGCAATGCTTCTTAGGACTTATGCCATAAAAAGAAGATTATAGCTGGAGGATGCAGCATCAAGAAAGGTTTTATTTGGTTGTTTGGTTGTATTTTTAAGTTCAGAAGTACTGGAAAGTCAGTGAGCAGACAAGAGAGAATGAGGAATAGGCCTTAGGTTGGAGCAGAAAAAATAATAGGAGGGAAGATAAAATATATGGGTAGCAACGGAGGTAGGTAAATAGATTTGGTAGTAGCAAGATGATTTTGTCTTCTGATTGCTTCTATTCTCATTGAACTAGGAAGCAAGGCCATCAGGTAAGAATGAGGAGGGAGGTTTTGGAAAAAGAGGCATGTGAAGAGAGAGAAAGTGTGAAATAATTAACTTGGAAGGTGGGAGAGGCCAGGGAAATTTAATGGGGTTGGATAGTAGCCAGCATGGTTCATTAGTAGCCAGTGTGGCTTGTGGTTTTCTATATCCAGATTTAGTTGCACAGGGGCAGGGGAGAGGTGGAAGAGAGTTGGGTTTACCAGAACCAGAGCTTTAGCAACAAGTATAACGGAAGGAGAGAAGGACATGAGGACTGCAGGTGTATGCACTAGCATGATTATAGGGATGGGCAATAGAATCTAAGCTCAGTAATGAGGGAAGTAAGGACATGAGAGGATGATGGACAGGGAAAAAGTGGTAGGGCAGAGTGAAGGAGGTGGCGCTTCCAGGATAGCAGTGGATAGCTGCCACAGAAAGGGGCAGCAGGTGGTAAAAGCTGAAGACATCCTTTGAAGTGGTGGATTTTAAGGGTGTGGGAGTGGCAATGAAGAGGAAGTAGAAAAGCTACCTGCCTCCAATAATATGAAGTATGGGGAGGAGAGCAGAACCCAGTCCCCATTAGAGAGGGTGGCTGGGAAAACAGTACTCTCAGAAGATAGCCAGGTTTTGATTAGAAAAGAAGTTGAAGGGTTTTGATTAGAAAAGAATTCAGAGGAGAGTTTAAGGATTATAAGGATTTTGTTGATGTGAGATCATGAGTTCCAAGGATCATGTGGGAGGGTTTGCATGCTCTGGTTGGGTGGTAAATTAAGTTTCCTTTGGGGATGTACAGAAAGAGTTAAGAGTGCCAGGAGTGAGAATGGCCCATAAGACTTGGATTCCACAAAGGGAGGCTCCAACTCAAGGAAGGATTATGTCTAGAATTGGTTTATAAGGGAGTTTTTGTAGAATTTGCAATCATTTCTCTGTAGAAAAAAAATATCATTCTTGATAGGTTCCAAGGTTAATTCTCAAATGTACCTGAAAATTAATGCTGTTAAAGGAATATAGAACATACCCACCATGAATAAGAATGTTTCTCTGTGAAGTTTGGTTTAGAATTTCCACTTGGAGGAAGACATCTGTCTCCTTTCAGCAATGGGGCAGGGTGCCTTCACACACTGAGCAGTGGTGGTAGAAATTAGCAATGTTTGCTTTGGTTGTAATGGTAGTGGCCCTCACTCAGAGAAAAGGCTAAGCAGGGACTGGTTTGATATGGACGTGAGATGAGGAAAGAGTTTTCAGAGGCAGGGCCAATGGTGCTAAGGAGGGGCAAGGTTGGAGGAGTGGGGAGATAAAAAGAAGGAAGGCATTTTGGAGATGGCAAAGAACGTGCAGAGAGGATAATAAACCTCAGAATGAATGAATGTGGTAGAGTGAGGAAGGTGAGATAAAATGGGTTATTCCTTCCTTCCTTGTGGCTTCTTTTGAGACTCTACTAGCAGCTTAAGAGTGGCGGCCATATGCAATGGAATTTTGGATTCCTCTTCACCCATCTAGTTTCATTTTTTCCATTTTTTTCTAACTCTTTCTCCACTTCTCTTTTTGTGATGATGCCCTGTCACCAGACACGATTGTTGAGTATCTCTTGGGTGATGTGTGAAATGGAGGAAGGGGTGGCAGGTTTCAGCCAGTGGGGGAGGGGAAAGAAGTGGGAAGGAAAGGAAGTCCCCCACGGGCAGTTTTTTTTGGAGTAAATCATCAGTAAGTGACAAGTGTAAATTGGTTCTCTGTAAGTTGGGGCACTGACAGAATATATGCATATATATTAGAATATTATAATGTATTTCTATCATTAATGACATGAAGGGAGTTAATAGGAGTTAATACCAATAGCTGAGTAGAAAAAAATGTATGTATCCTGCTTACAGTTCCAGTAACTAACGTGTTTTATGATTTCAAATTTTGGTCTTGTAATCTAGACAAGATAAATAAAATTATATTTGTATTTTGTGAATATATATTTGTATTTTATGAACATGTATATGAAATTTACAATTTTGTATTTCATTCAAAGACACACATCTCAGGCACCATTTTCATAAGAACTAAAGTTTAACTTAAGATTTCATCTTTGGAACTGACATATCTATAACATTTGAACTCATGGATTTTTAACTTTTTCTCCTTGTCGGCAACGAAATTAAAGCATGTTATATATTATCATAGGATTGCTATTCTTCATAAATTTTGGTATTAACTGCTTACTTTTTAATTGTATGAGGTATAATATGATAATCTCATATTTTTGCGATGATAGAGTCACTTCATAGTTTTTTAAACGGGGAATGAGGAAGAGTTCTTTGGGAGCGAGTGAGAGCCACTGTTCATTGTGATACAATACTGATTTAATTTCACAAGATCAAAGGCAAAAACATGATTGTTGCTTAATATCTAACCAAATACATATGCTTATGTGAGAAGGAAGTGTAATACAGTGGTTCAAGACTATGGCTCTGGAGCCAGACAGACCTACATTGGAATCAGCTCATCTTGCAAGCTGTGTGTCCTGGCAATTATTTAACTCTTCAGGCTTAGACTCCTCACAGTAAAACTAGAGCAATCATGGAACAAGCCTCACTGGATGGTTGTGAGGATTAAGTGAAATGATGCAGGTGAGTGCTTAGCAAAGGTCCTGGGAAAGAATGAGTACTCAATGAATACTACTACCAATACTAAAAATGTCAGCTATGGTTGACCAGATGGATGGAATACCAAGCTACATGGAAAACGTGTAAGGGATTGTGGTGGATGTGTGTTTTGGTACCTAGCCCAGACACATTTACTAGACTGGTGCACCTGTTCCCTAGCTGCTCTGAGTGTTGGTTACTCATAGTCACAGCTGCTCCCTCTCTGGAAAATTGCCCTCAGCTGAACAGGCCACCTCACTGCCTGCCCTCATCCCCAACCCGGGGGGAAAGCCTCAGCCAATGACTGTCTGATTGACATGTAGGTACAAAAGACTGGCCTGCTTGCCTCATGGTGTAACCAATTCTCTTCTACTTAGGAGAGACTAATGAGTGGTTCATTGGCATTCGCCCAGATCTATACTAAATGACTTCACATGCCAAACAAGTCAGGGACAGAACGACTCAGCCTTGCAGGTACAACTCCCAAAGTTCTAAAAAGGGGTCTTAGAGAAAGAGAGACTTAGCTGCCAGGCTCATATTGAGACTGAAAGTAAAATTAAAATATAGTAATTAAAGTTTTACTAAAATTCAATTCTGAGGCTCCTAGTGGCTAAAGCAAAAGAGAAGAGACAAGTTCAAATCACATGAATAGCATGAGTAGTGATTTTCAAAATCACACTATGCCTCAGTACTTTGGTGTGACAGAAATCTGTCATGTGGGTCTTCACAGGGAGCATGTTGAGTGAGGAGAGTGAAAGGCATCCCTATAGTAAATTCCATGCTGTGTTTTCTAGAGTCTTCTCTCACAGCAGATTAGTTGAGGGCTTTAAACCAAATTGCTGTTCCTCTAAGGAAAGGGGGAGGCAAGTCAGTGAGGTCCAGTGGCACACTTTTATGGGAGTCTGAATTAGTTCAAAGATCAAATCTTGATTCTCTAGACTAGAGGAAGGAATATGTCCATCATACTCTCCCCTAAGCCCCCACCCCATTCTCTCAGCTGTGTGTTTGATAGAAGTTGAACAGTATGCAGTTACAAGTTATTTTGGGGGGCATAAACCTAGGAGGCAGATTTTGCGTGTTGTTGACTACGGTCTGTCTCATGGGAATGGGAGGTTCATAGTGTTTTGTGAAAACTGTTTTCGCACCAAGACTGGTATTTCAACAGAGGCCTATTCCACCTGGGAAGGGAGACAGGCTGAGAGAGCACTGTCTTCAGAAACCAGACTTTCCAGCCTTTTCTTGTCATGTGTTCGTTTTAATCTAGGCTTCAGAAAGAACATTCTGCAGATTCTTTGCTCAGACAAGCCTGATGGCTATGTACTGTGTGTTTACTTAAAAATGCTCCTTTCAGTTCAAATCACTTCCGAGGAAGATCAAGTTAAACAGTAAACGGGGAGTTTACAGTGGCTTGTATGTATGCCAGGGTTTTGTGGCGACATATCAAATCTGTCATTGCAAAGATAAGTCAGAAGAGAGATATTAAATATCATTTTTGCTGTTCCGAATCCTTCTTGCAAAGCCCAGGAACTGTCTCCTTTCCAACATTGAAAGATATGAAACAACAAGCCTGCAGGTCTTGGGAAAGAATGGCCTCCTCTCTTCAAAGAAATCTTCTTGGAGGGTGGCCTGGGTTGTTTTCCTTTAAGATTTTCTAGAGTGAACAGATGTAACAATTTCTATAATTTGCCTTGGTGCAGATGCTGAAAGAGAGCATTCACAATAAAATATATGCAGTCTATGTAATTTCAGCTGGATGTTCTGGGGTTTGAGAGTAAAAATGTGTACCTGCAAGCTGTTTTATGGCTTCTCAGTCATAATTATCTCTGTTACACAGAAGGCTACAACTGCAACTCCTCTTTCATGTGCAAGCTTTCCAAAAATATCTTGATAATTTTGCATATTCTGCAGGGCGCAGTGTTCTCCCTGTGTTAGGTTTGGAAAGTGTGTTAAAGTGTTTACTTTCTATTTGTGATAAATTTATGAAGGAATCACACCAACAGAGAGGATGGAGGATAATCTGTGGAAGAAGCCCTTGCAAAAGGGGCAACGATGAGAATGGGTCTCAAGTAATAAACGCTGCACAAGAGCTTCGGCTAAGGTTATGGACAGCACGCCTGCAGATGATGCTCATTTACTGAAACCGCATTACCCTGATAAGATAGGAGAAAAGTGGTGGAGAAGGTGGTGAGAATGCTGAATAGCTGAGGCTTGCTACCTGCCTCTAGGGAGTCTGTGCTGATGCTTGTGGCATTCCTCAGGGGATGGATAAGGAGAGGGGCTGGGGCGTCATTGCGAAGCCAAATCCCCAGACAGCCAATGAGTGAATGCTCTGCTGCATATGTCCTCTGCCAGCTCAATGATTGACCCTCCCTCCAGTTGTCAGCCCAATTCACTGACTACTTCATTTGTCCCTGCTGCACGGAAATATATTTTCCACAGTAATTACAAAATGGATTGCTACCAGTGCCTCTCATTACACACATACTTGCTGAGCACCCACTAGTAAGTAGTTCAATAGTTACCATTGGGGTTCCATTGGTCCTCTCCGCCCAACACAAACAAGAAGTTTTCTACCTCCACAACGCAGTGGTGCGCGCTGTTGTATGGCATAACTGGAATTAAGAAAGAAAAAAAAGATGTATGAAATTTTCCATCTTAGAACTTGCTACTTTGGCTCACTAGTTATTTGCTTTCACCAAAGTGTATAAAATGTGAGACTAAGTCAGAAGGAAGAAGAGAGCGTAGGCAGCAGAGCGGGGCACCCACCAATCCACAGTGGCTCAGTGGTGTGTTCACAGCGATTGCAAACCCAACCCCTTCTGATTAATTTTACATAATGTTATTCCACAAATTAGTCAAGAACAACCTATCATGCTGCTTTCGATTCTTAAGTCCTCCTCACCTGCCTGACGATGGGGATCGAATTCTCAAACAATGATTGATACTCCCAAATGGTCAGGGCTGGGGGTCACTTCTTGGAAGAAATACCCCTGCATACGCTTGGAGCCGTTACAATGCTCTGCCCAAACTTGGTTTGCTGGCAGTCTTTCCATAAACAGACTCAGGGTGCTTGGTAGCTTTCTATTCCACAGCAATGAGCAAGCTGAATTTCCATACAGTTTTAAGTTTTTAAATTAAGGTCCTGCTGATTTAATGCCTTCTCCAAATGTATACGCTTAATTTCCTGTACAATGTCATTAGCAGCACAATCACACATTTTCTATCTATCTGCTTAGGAGCTCTTCTGTAACAAAGATAAAAACCATCAGGAACATCAGAAATATCCATTCCCCTTGTCTCACCCTTCTCCCTGCCCCAACGTGGTAACTGTGAGGAGGGGGTGTTATTCAGAAACCCACTAAAGCCAGGCTTCTCTGTATTTGTTCTCATTTCATTTTCTTTTGGGAAATACGCAGAACCAGAATAGGACACCCCTGTCACCCCGGGTGCAGTGCAGTGCTAGTCTCTGCTATTATAATATCGCATGGTAAATGCAAACGTACACAGCATTAGTTCTCATATCACATGCAGTGGTTTGGGCCCAGTGACACCAGTAGGAAAAATGATGTCCTTGTTCAGCTCATCATATGGGCACCTTAAATCTAGGTGAGGACAAATGGGGAGGTGATGTGCACGTTCAGGCAGGGAACTTATTGCTTGACACGGATCAACAGAGCACTTAAGAAACCAGTGCAGTGAGAAATCAATATGAGACAGGGCCAGCTCTTACTTTGTGCTCTTTTGCCAATGCCGAGAGAGAGAGAGAGAGAGAGAGAGAGAGAGAGACAGACAGACAGACAGACAGACAGAGAGACAGAGACAGAGACAGAGAGAAAGAGAGGCAGAGAGAAAGTGAGACAGCGAGACACAAAGAGAGAGACAGAGACAGAGAGAGAGAGTGCGCCTATCTCATACTCGACTAATTTTGGATGATATATATCTCTTATTTCATTTTTATTATATATAATTTTTCTTAGACTGCACTTATATATGCTAGCTAAGATTTGTAAATAAAAATTAATAAGAAACAGGCATAGCTTTGAAACCTAAAACAGCTTCTGAAAGAGCAAATAAGATCATTTAAGCTTCTTGCTAAAGGATTTTAGGAGTTTTGATTATTTTATTATTTATTAATTTTTTATTGTGACTATTCATTGTTTTTGAACTTACATCCACAAGGGAGAAGGCATTGGTATGTAAACCTCTGATTTCTGGGATACTGTGGAAATTGGGTGTCCCGTGGATCTGTGTGGTCCATTAATTAGGTCAGTTGCCTTAGGGAGTCATCTCCGGAATGTCCTTTTGCCCCTCAACCCTCAGTTATCTCTTTGGAAAATGCTTTTAACCATATAGCTCCTTCAGGCTTCACTTCTCAGAGTCCACTGAGGTAGATTACATGTTGAGTTCATTGAGCAACTAAGATTGGATATGTTTTGAATATCCCCTTTTAAAAAAAATTAACTCGTTTGGATTATGATGCTGGTTCCAAAATACCAAACACAAAAGGATGCTGCTTGTATATTATGTATATTGTGTATATTGTGAACAGTCTGGTGCTGCTCCAGTTCATCATAACGTCATCTGGTCAGTGTAAACTTACAGCATCGATTGTCATCTGTATGCATCTACTCACATGAGACATGAGTGTAAGAATAGAGGCCATTGACTCTAATCAATTTACTTGATGATGCCACTCTTCCAATACTTATTTTAGATTTTTGGTCAGTTCAATGCCCAAATCTTATAAATAATGAAAAATTATATTATCTTCTTTTTCACTAGAAGTCCAGCTTTATAATAAAGCACAATCTCTAAAAATATAACACTTGTGTTTTGTTCTTGCCATTCATTTGCTCCCATTCAGGCAAGCAGAAATTAAGTGAAGGAAATAAGACATGATTTGTTCTTAAGCCTCTTTCTCATTTGATTACCCCTATTGTTATGCTTTATGCAAACAAATGAAACTATTGCACTAAACTAACTATTGAAACCTTCAAAATAAGAGAGAAGGTCTTTGAAGTCCTAATACATAGGCCACTTGAGGGTATTCTCATTTATCTACATATATACATATATGTACGTATATATCTCTATATATCTACATATATCTACATACATTTGCTCGTGTTTTTAGACCTTGCATGCTATATTTCTTCGCTATTTCAGTATTCTCATTCCTGAATTACTCTCTTTTCTGAATTATTACCGTGAATCGAGAGGTTATAAATACATACAAATAACTCTTTTGAAATTATTCTGAACGTAAAATGCTCCAAATTTTAAAAAAACCTATATTAAATCAATGTTTAAGTTTTGCAAAAGACCTCATTTCTTTGACTTCTGATTAAACCTGAAGGAAAGCAAAATAAATAGGGCAGTGAGCAAAAGAAAACATCTGTTTAAAATGGCACAAGTTACTGCACCTATCGGTGATCTTTTAAATAACAAGGAATACATGCCTGACCCTTTCCAGATTTCTCTAGTGCTGGACACTGGCCTCGCCCTCACAGTCAGGCATCGGAGAAGTTTGTTCTCCATGCTCATATACAGCCCAGTGTGAGTTTTTAGCGTGTCAGTCAGTGAGTTAGAGGGAAAGGGTAAAGAGAAGCTAATCAGGATGAAATGAGATTAAAGGCTGTCTAATTTTACAGCAACTGTGATCCATCAGCCACTGTGAAAGTGACAGTGGAAATGAATGATGGAGACAGACAGGTGGGGCTGTACATTTCACTGATTTATCCTCAAATGCACTGGGCCTTATTTTATTGAGTGAACATGACCGCATTTATCATGACTGTCATCTAAACCCACTTCCCTCCATTTAAAAAGGTCACTTTACTCAGAGGGAGTAGGAGAGAGTCACTTTCAAATCAGATTTAAAATCTAATAACACGTGTTTATCAGACCCTTTGTGAGAATTCTCAACTTTATTAGACAAACTAGATGTGCTAGAAGGAAAGGGGAAAAAAAAAGGCCAGAAAATAGAAAAAGGAAAAACCTTTAGTCATCTGAGGGAATATATTCATTTAGTCTCTAAATTTGAAGCAATTTGTATCATTTTTGCCTTTCCCACTCCACATACCTGAAATTCTATTCTAATGTAATTCTATTCTAATGTAAATTAAAACATTTACATTTAATATTTTTAATTAAGAAAGTAGGAAGCAGGTAATATCATAAAATAAACTTGGATAGGATGTTAAGTCACAGTATTTACTCTGCAGAATGATTCATCATTACACACTCAATAGATGTTAGCAATTGCTACAAGTTGAACCTCTGCCACAATTATATGCCTGTTAATTGATTTCCCATAATTTTAAGGCCATACAGATCTCAGTTACACAAAGTCTTTTATCCCTCTCTGTACTGGTGCAATAAAATGTCCTGGAATGTTGTACACAAAATTGGTCTTTGTAGATATGAAAATGGAGAGTCAAACCCTGAGAGTATTTTGTGTTCCTTTTCACAACAGTAACCACTACTTACCAACCATTTGCTATGTGCCAGGCACTGTGCAGGGGCCATATATATATGTAAATTAAATATGTAATTATATTTATATAGAGTTACCTATAGTCTATCTCTGAAAATATAACAACATTTGTGTATTTTCTTGCCATTCATTTACTCCCATTCAGGCAAGCAGAAATTAAGTGAAGGAAATAATATATGATATTATAATGCATGATAAAATATAATACATGATAAAATATACCTATATTTCATTTACCTATATCTTTCACTTAATATAACTAACTCCAAGGGAGGCATTACTCATTCATTTTATTTCTATAAGACATACCGAGGCCTTGAGAGGTTAAGTCACTTGTTGAAGGTCATACTCAGCTAATGAATGGCAGAGATAGAATCCAAACACGGGGATATCATGGGGATATCTGGATCCCAACCCACGCTCTTACCCATTTCACTCTACTGATTTTCAATAGGTATGTTCATCCAACCAGCAAGTAATTACTGAGTACCTATGTGTTCAATGATGGTGTTCCTGAAATTTCTGTATAATTTTTTTGTATCGAATCATATTTTAAATGTTTATTATTCTCATATTTAAAGGAATCCTTAATTAAAGTAACTAGACACCTTTAAATTTTTTTCTATAAATCCGTATATTCAAATAGTTGGTTTTCTTAAAGTAGGGTACAGTTGTTTGATGGAGCCAGAAAAACACGGAGCAAATCAGCCAGGTAAGGGTGGGTAGAGTCTATTGGCAGAGGGTTTTTATTTTTTTTAAACAACGAGGGCATGTTTCAACCTTGTAAGCAGATTCAGAGAATCTTGGGCACAGAGGTCCTTTTCCTGGCACATAAAATGTGCAGGGGGCTTGTTGTATTTGTGAAGGACTTATTCTGCTAGAGATCTGCACTACTGTTTCCTCTCATACTTTACATCTAAGGAAGGTATACCTCTTCCAGCAGAAAGCACAGGACCACAAAGTTTCATGAACATCCAAACCAGATTGCATAGGGCTACGCCAAATTTACGGGATTGCTGAATAAATGGTTACTGAATGTTTATTACCTTGATGTAACATCTATGAGGGCCTAGATTTCCTTTTGGCTTCAAATACATAAATTTGCAAAACTGTCAA